CTCCCTCCCTCCCTCCCTCGGTTCGCTCCTTTCCTTTCCCTATCCCCTTTTCCTTTTGTCTTCCTTTCCAGGTTACCCAGATTCTTCCCGAGTAACGGGAGGTCATGTGCCCCTCCTGCAGCATTCCCTGAGGAACTCAGCCGTGCGTGCGTGTGCCTGCCTTGCCTCTGCGGGGCAGGCACACTCCGGAGATGCTTGGCACCTCCTGTGGATCTCACCTGGACACAGGTGGGAGCTGCCCGTATCTCCATTGCAGGTCCTTTGCACCTAAATCTGTTCCGGGCTGGCTAAACTGCAGTGCTGAAGGCTTTGCTGGGCAGAAGTGTGTTTCCAACTGGGTGAAGACATCCCCTTCCCAGGCCGGGCTTAGGGATCTGCAGTGAGATGGAAGTTTTGGCTGTGCCTCTTGACATTGCATCTGTCAGCCTTTGAAGCAAAGGGGCTATTTCTACAACACGGGATTGTTAAACTCCTCACACTGTTGTTTAATTTTCTGAAGAACCTTCTTCCTTCTGGCAGGGTAGGACAGGCTTCTTGTGAGGTCTGCAGACATGGGCGTGTAAGATCAGGGGAACAATTCTGCCATGGGCTGTTGGGATTTTACACACCAAGTCCCTCTCAGTAAGAAATGGAATTTTTATTTCCCAGTGACACACTAACAAAACTTAGCAAAACACCACAGTTAGACAATACCCCCAACTTGGGAAAAATTAAACTTTAATTTAAACATAACTATAGCATTTAATAAATAACATAAAAATAACATAAAGTTTAATATCATAACTAAAATTACAAACTAAATGTGTAGGCTCAGGAAAGCTGACACTGAGCTGGAATGGAACTTAGGCAATGAGAGTATTATATAGGTTTTGCATATGGTGAAAGATGTTGAGAAGGAATGAAAGGATGTGTGATAAGGTTATCTGTCCCATTGCCTTGAGGCTTCCAGTGGCTTCTTCAGTTTGTGTTCATGGCCTACCACCAAATCCTTGTTGTTGAAATCATAGCAGGCCTTGTCCATTTCCTTGGTTAAACACAGTTCTACCAACCTTTTGTGCCCTTGGCCATGCCTGGTTTGTCAGTGCTTCCAAAAAGTCACCAAGCACTTTATGTTTAGCTAAACTCTGCAGATGCTCTGCTTTTGTTAGTATCTTTGACGTTCTGGAAATTGCAGGCACTGATTTTGGTAGACAAAGGGACAGATACATAAATCATGACTCTAATGCTCACTGTCCAATTTCAGCAATTAAAGGGGTTCATTTTCATTTTTCTTTCCTTTGCAGTTTTGTAATGGTGCCTCCAGTGTTGCTGTGTACTATTGGAGGCCCCTGGACACAGGAAGTGGTTTTGCAACTTTCTCTCCGTTCTCAGCACCTTGCACTTAAATCAAGTTACCATTCTGTGCTCTTGACTGAACTATTTATGCTTCGTCACGTGTGTTTCAGGTTTATTTACATAAGTTCTGTAGGTGAGGGCTCCCAGTGCTGCTCTGGATTTTACATTGTGTTGGTTTTGATGTTGTTTTAGCAGATGCTAGGTGCTAACTGGGAACAGCAATTTGGATTGAGAAAAAAGGAGGGCTTGGAAGCACTGTGAGAACACATGTAGGAGAGAGCCCTGGCAATCATGTTTTTGCTTGGAGGATGTTGTCTGTTTCTCCAAACCAGTCTTTTGAATTCTGATTTACATTTCCTAGATTTTTCTGGGAAGTACCAGAGGATCATACTTGTGTAGCATAAAAAAAAAATAATTAGAAATTCTTTTCATCCTTCAAGTCAGCATAAACTTATTCTTTTTAAAGTATAAATATAGCTGGTTGAAAAATTGAAACATTTGAAAAATCAAAATTGTTTTAATTTAGAATTACAGAATCAGTTAGGTTGGAAAAGACCTCTGAGATCATTGAGACCAACCTACGACTAAACATCACCCTGTCAACTAGACTATGGCACTACATGCCACTTCAGTCTTTTCTTAAACACCTCCAGGGCTGGTGACTCCACCACCTCCCTGGGCAGCCGTTTCAATGTTTAATCACCATTTCTGTAAAGAAATTAATCCTAAAGTCCAACCTAAACCTCCCCTGATGCAGTGTGAGACGAAGTCCAAAAATGCTCAAAACTGGTTAGTATTTTCTTGGATATTTTAATTAATTAAATTAATTAAATTAGTTAAAATAATTTACCCTGGTTTTGTAAACACAAATATAAATTTAAAATATTATCTGATAATTCAAGAAATGGTTGGTTCCAAGGGAAGAATTTTAGGAATAATGTCATTAATTAACCCCACTATCATTCTGTATAGTAGAGTAAAATAACATTTCAAAACAAAGGCCTATATTAATTAGATTAATTCAAAATAAGTGTGAAAGTGACCTTGAAAGTTTTGCAGTAAACACATGAAGCTGGGATAGTGAAAGGTTTTTAATACTTTAGATATGGAAATAAGTAATTTGGGGAGTTTTGTGATTAAATATTCTCAGGCATCTGCTTTCATTGAAAATCAAATAAAACACAAAAAAAGCTGATTCTAATATGCTAGTATTAAAATAATGCGAGGAAAATTTGAAAGATAAAAATGGGGAAAGGGTTATTCTGTCACCTCTTCGCACTTGACAGGATTTTCTCCTGGTATGCATACATGCCTTTGCTTTAAACGTAATTATTTGGTCAGCTGTGGAACAAGTGATATTTTAGGAATCAAGCAGAATTTGAGGAGCTCTCCAACTGCCTGCTGGAATTTGAAGTCCTGCCCAGTTACTGGTCGCTGTCAAAGGGGCAGGAGGATCCCCGAGTTACTGTAAATCCAGCAGTAACACATCTGCTGGCTCGAGTGAAGGGCAGCTGGACAGCTCCCGTGTGGCGGCCGGCAGCAGAGCTCACCAGTGAGGGTGGCAGGGCGGCGTGCGGGGCTGGGAGCTGCCCACGCGTGTGCCCCCCCCCCCCACGCCCCCGCTGTGAGCTGGGCAAACCTCGGCCACGGGTGCCTGCTGCAGGCAGGGAGGGACTCGAGCCGTGCAGAAATCCAGCTCTTCCCGCGCGTTCGGAAGCCGGTGGGACAGCGTGCCCAGAGAGCGGGGACAGGCGGCCACCAGGTGGCCCTGCTATAGCGACAGAGCTCATGTAGCAACAGGGCGAAATAACTGATAAAAGTGCAAGTTACAATTGACTTAAGGCAGAGTTATTTTATAGCGATCGAATTTTGTATCATCTAAGTTTGGAATTTTTTTCAAAAAAGGATTTGTTTTTTCTTTTTTGGATGCCGATCCCGCACAGATCTATTTATATGTGTTTCTATTTATTACACAAATACTCGGCTAATCAATTACTTTTTTCGAGACTTGTCCCTCACATAAAATTAAGACTCTGCAGATGCACGTGCAGTGTTAGGGAAACATGGTTTATTGGAAGAAACTTCTTGTGGTGTTTTCGCAGTAGGTAAGTGCTAGAGTTTAATTAATTAACATCTATTGATTTATTTTGGTGTTATCTCCTTACCTGCAGTTATAGTTTTATGTTTAAAAAGTAGTTAGGAGAATTATAGGTAACTTTTATATCATGGCAAAGTGGTATGTGCCGTTACTGTAATTTGACAGACAGGATGGGATTTGTTAACCTTTGAAAACTTGTTTGTGCATTTATGATATGCGGTGCAATTGCTGATTGTGCTAAGGGGTTTCCAAAAGCTCAAAGGGCTATGGGCTGGGATAAGAGTTGCCTAAAAGAGGTCAAAAGGCATTATAGTGTTATGGGTCCAATGTTCAGCACTGAAAGAAGGGTCCCTTTGGCAGAATGACCGGCTTGGAGTGACAATCTTGTTCTCTGGGGAAGATTTTGCATAGTTGTACTGTAATATTCTATGAAAGTTGGTCCTGGAAATATCTTAAAAGTACAACAGCAGTTTCCAAAATGAAACCACATCTGTGTATGTGTGTATAAGAGCTCCACAATAAGAAGAAATTTATCTCCTGCTTTATATAATATGCTTCAAATAGTATAGTTCTAATTACTGTCCCTTATTTCTTTTCAATGCTAACCATTTCATATTTGTGTGAGCTGCACTTTATTAAATACACATTCATTCTTAATACATATTTATGAAATATTAAATAATTTTGTTAAATAGTAAGACCAGCCAAAAATAAGGTTTAAGTTAAAGTGATAATCTACAAAAATTTGAGATCAGCCCTTAAAAAACAAGGACAGTTTGATTGCTGCAACGAAGAATATCGACCATGTGAAAATTTGATTTAAAGGAAAGAAAAAAGCCCAACCCACAAACACAGACCAGTGGTGATAAGGAACCTGGATATGTGTATTATTCGCTTACAGTCTTCAGATGTTCCTGTTCCATTAGGGCTTTGGGCAATCCTATCACTGTGGGCTGTTTATCAGCTTAGTGGCACTGCTCTTCTTTGGCAGGCCTTGAAGATGTTAGTTAAATTGGTTGGCTCAGTAGCTTTTTTGGAATCCCCATAGAAACTGCCCTAATGCAGAAGAGAAATTTGGGAAAGTTTTCTTCCCTTGCTTTTTGCTAAACTGCTCTTGACACAGACAAAGTCATATTAAAGGAGAGTACGACAAGAACGTTTGTCCAGCAAAGGGCCATGATTATCGGCCTGGAGTATCTCTCCTATCAGGAAAGGCTGAAAGGTGCTGGAGTGACAGGTTTTGTGTGGGGATAATTTCAAGTAGCAGAACACACTGTGGTCCTGCAAGTGAGACCAGAGAGCGGCAGCAGCAGAAGCAGCAGCAGCAGGAGTGCTGATTTCTCTGCTGGACTTTGTTTGAGGCTGCAGCATTCACCCAGCTGAGATGGGGACAGAGCTGTCTGAGGTGGGTGAAGGTGGGAGGCAGTGGCAGTGGAGGGGCAAAGGCAGTAGCTCACTGCTGAGACCAGGGCTGTGGTGGAAGGGCGTGTGGGATGAGAAGGAGCTCCTCCTGCCCCGTAGGACCTCTGTTGATTGAGTGCACTGCATGGGACGAGTTTGACTGAAACCCTTTATTGGTAAAAGTGTTTTCTCAGAAGAGGGATCCTTCTGGGTCTTGTCTGGGCACAGGAAGAGCAGCAGCAAGACCAGCATAGGCGAGTTCCTTCTTCTTGTGTCCTTGTGCCCCACAAGGCGAGGGGCTGGTTGAGAAGGGCGTGGGCCAGGAGAGCATCTGCTGGGCTGGTCCTTCCTCTCAGCTTTCCATGGCTGTGTCCCTCAGAAGAGCAGGACGGTGCGAATACTGAATAGTGGAAGGGAAGGGAAGGGAGGGTTTAGAGGTTGCTGCGGTTCAGAAGCAGGCAGAGGGGCAGGCAGGTGTGCCTGGGGACCGGCTGCCTTCTTTCCCTCCAGCCTCTTCCTAACTTAGCTGCAGGAGACATGCAGCAGTAGGGCAAGCGTGATGCGGCCCTTTTTCCCTCCCCAAAGCTCTGGTGTTGCTGCTGTAAGACACATTCCTCCCTCCTCTGGCTTTTTGCTGTTGTTTCTAAGGATGGCCCTTCCTTCTGACTGTCAGTCCTGTTCTTTCCAACAGTCCCTGACATAATGGAGTTATATCTGGGTGTCTATGCTGCCTCAGTGCTGGGCCTGCAGGATCTCTGTTGAGCTGAACCACGAGCAGGATTGTCCCCACACTTGGCTCCAGGCCCTGCTTCCTCAAAAGGCTCAGGTGATTTTTGAGAAGACAGTGTTGCATGTTCTGCCTGCCAGAGCATTTGGGCTGTTTGACTTTGAGGAGGAGGTGGTGTTTGCTGTGCCTCGCTCCTGCTAGTGAGGGTCTCACCTTTTTCCTGCACGTAACAACTCAAATCCCTCGTTCACTTTAGCGAAGGGCAGCGTGTGCGTGATCAGCAAGTCTGAATTGAATTTCTTCTCCAAATAGCTGGAAACTAATTTGGGGATAGAATCTCTTATCTTCCAGCCTAGAAACAAGAGGAAAGAGCTTCAGTGACTAATGGGAGAAATGCCGTTTTGGGAATGGAGTGTTACTGTGAGGGTCAGGAGTGAGGGACCAGTACCGGTGCTTGTGAGATATTCTCTTCTCTGTGGGAGAAGTTGGATAGTGGAGACAGTTGTGTGTGTTGTACTTGATGAATCAGTTACAGGTTTATTAGCATATTTAATGCTAATGTTTAATGCAGTGGAAATGCTCCTCTTTAGTTCACTTTTTCTTGAAAACCCCCTTTTAGTATGCCTTGTAAGCTGCCATGACAGGAAAAGCTGAAATTTCTAAAATGTTTTCTTTAGTTTCATACCTCCAAGCACTGACCCCTTCCATGTACGCCCAGTTAGCAGAAGCGTAGGATCGACGGAAATCTTTGAACCGGAATCCACTTCCCCAATCATCACAAAAACGCCAGTGCTCATATTGCAGGAAGCCAGGGCAGCAATCTGATGGGACAGGGAGGTGAGTTAAAGAAAGCACTGGTGAGTTGGTCAGGTCTGGCTCTCCCTGGTAATCTGAAAACACATCCTCCCTTGTGCAGGAGACATGGAGAGCTCAGGGCCTCTTTCACGGACCTGTACTTTCCTTTCTCTCACAAAGGTGTGCCCAGCAGTGCAGGCAGCAGGCAAGGAACTTCCCACCTGGGTGAATTTTCCCTGATGGCAGCCTGGGAGTGATCTGAGAGGGAAGACACATGCTGAAAGGCCACCTACCATGGTTTCTGCATAGCCAATGGCCTCAAAGGAGTAGTCCACACCCTGTCCTGTCATCTCAGTGAGCACCTCCTGGATGGGCTTCTTGTAGTCATGAGGGCTGATGCAGTCGGTGGCTCCCAGCTCCTTGGCCTTGGCAAACTTGTCCTTGTTGATATCCACGGCAATGATGCGGGAAGCTCCAGCTGCCTTGCAGCCCATGACGACAGAGAGGCCAACTCCTCCGAGGCCGAAGATGGCACAGG